AAGAAAAAGAATAGGAATACATAGCATTACTGCCTACTGTGTCAGTTTTGAAGCCCATTTTATCAGACGCTCATTTTTGCATAACTTACGAAAAACTTAATTGTTGCAAAATTGCAAACAGTATTATAAAAATTGCTTATACTATCTGATAGGAGACACTTTTTACTTTGTATTTATGTTTTTGAAGTTGTATTTTTACCTTTTGTTTAAGAAATATTGTCTAAAAACAAAGTGGTATGTCGGTATCGGTGACCTTCCTCTACATCTACCGAACGAACAGCTAACGCGAACATTTGGACATTCGCGTTCATGTTCGTAGTTCGTTCGTACATTTTTCTCGATTAATATTTTTATTTCGTAACAAATATTTTGTAAATCACATAACTATATTTAAATTTGTGCTGTAAGTATATAAATAAAGCTAAATTTCATATTTGAAAAATAGAGGATCATATTAGATAATAGAGGATCATTCAGGCGAACAGCCAAATAGCGAACACGTGATTTGCACGTCTATACCGCGCACGAATCGCATGTTCGATTTTCATTCGCTTTAACATATACATCTGCTGAACGCAACCAATGAACGTTCGCGTTCGCTGTTCGTTCGGTGTTCGTTCGCTAGGTGTATACGCGGCTATAAAGAAGTGTCGGCTAGAGTGCTGATTATAACTGTGCCCAGTCTACTGGCAAGAAAGTTGAATCATATAGAAATTTTATTTTGAGAGAGAGAGTTCTCCGAACGGATCGTATTGTGTCTATAATTTTTGGTTTCTTGCACGTCGATATAATGTCAAATACAGTTCTGAACAAGCCTGAAAAATCGGAGTATCATAAGGCCGAATATAGGTGAGACTGGGGGGTGGAGCAAAAAAGACGATTTCAATTGAAATATACGTGTGACATATTATTAATTGCGATGATAATCTTTTAAGAGAAATGTTACAAAGTACTTTCTACAAAAAAGAGAATTAAGATTTTTTTCTGGTCCTCAGTAATTTCCCATTTTATTGTTAATCGTTTTGTTTTTCAAATTTAGAGTCGTTAGATTAACCAACGGTTTAACAGCTTTGTTAATATCTGATCTGGAAGGAGCGAATAATGACAATATGAATTATAAAAATTATGAAGCAGGTTGTTCTTCAACTAAACGAGTTGAAAGAGACGTATGAAAGGTATAAACAACACAATTTAGTTAGCACTTTTCGATACTTATAGCGCGTCATTTTTTACATAATTTGTTATTAAAAATACATTGAAATAATAATATCAAAGATGGGCCTATAAAAAATAATCATAAAAAATAATCTATCTCTTCAAAACTGCGTTCAGAAGCGCATCGATCATAAGCGCAATTGCGTCGATCCATCTTTATCGCTCATCGGACGTGAAAGAATAAAATGTCGCAATGACGCTTAATAGCGTATTCATCCAGTAAAGCTTGATATCGGATGCATTTCGTGTTATGCATAAAGCGCTTGATCGTTTTATCTTTCTTTATTATTTTGTGAACAACGAGGATAAATGATGCAGCATGCGTTTCATGCGTAATTCAAAACGCACCCATTATCCTCTTTGAAAGATTTAACTTTATACATTTTTTTTAAAGCGTTAGTATCAAATGAAACGCCATCTTTAAATTTGGCGAAGTCGTCGGGCAGTCAGTAATTTGGTATCAGTAAAGAAGTTTGTGAAAATATTTTTCTACAAAGTGATGACCTCGCCTGTAAACGAATGTACGTACTATATTATAAATTAACTATGTTTAATAAGATATCAATTGTTTATCGCAAATTTAACATATTGTAGTTACCTGTACAGCTAGCATTATTCCGTGAGCGCTATAATGGCAAGTCCTTGTTTGAAAAACGTGAACTCCTCTATTATTTGTAAATGAGTGTTCATGGATTTGTTTCGAAATGTGTAAATTGTTTACGGGCCATCTCACTGCTGTTTGTGCTTAATGTATTAATTTAACATTCTGTATGCACCGCAAGATAAAAATATAGATATATGTATTTTTTAAACTCAGGCATTTTGTGGCTTATGTGTGAGAGTAGGCAGTTTTAGCGATCCACCGGAAGTTTCAGGCTTGGCACATTTCCTTCAGTGCAAGGTTTTCATGGGATCCGAAAGTATTAAAATATGACAAATGAATTTATTATAAAATACATTTTTTGCACATTTACATGTTTAAATATCATTGTATTTGCAGGAAAACGGTTTTAATGAATTTATCAGTCTCCATGATGGCACTACTGATGGCAAAACAGATTGTGAGTATACAAGATTTTATTTTGATATCCTAGAGAGATACTGTCTCAAGTATGTCAGATAAATATCTCTCCATGATATCAAAATAAAATCTTGTATACTTGTCAGCAAGTCTTGATCGTTTTGTTCAATGTTTCATTGAACCCTTGATGAAGAAAGATGCCATCACGAGGAAGCGAGATTATGAGAGGTTTCATAATCAGACAATGGTTCGATAGATTTCCAGTGTTTAATCCATTCCTTTCGTAACTCAGTATCTATAAAATCGATTCTCGACTGCACATAATTTAAAACCGCTGTCGAAAATCATGACATTCACCGTTTCTGGCACCATTGTCTGAATATAAAAAGGTCATACAAAGGAGTAAATAAATACTAATGGTAATGTTGTTGCTAAGACTTACCATTATAGCGCTCATGGAATGATGCTAGCGGTACAGGTAACTATAATATGTTAAATTTGCAATAAACAATTTATTTCTTATTAAACATAGTTAATTTATAATAGTACGTACATTCGTTTATAGGCGACGTTATCAATTTATAGAAAAATATGCCACAAATTCTTTACTGATATATACCAAATTACTGACTGCCCGATAACTTACCGAATTTAAAAATGGAGTATCATTTGATACTAACGACTACAAAAAAATGTATCAAGTTAAATCCTTCAAAGATATCAGCCAAGTATATAACTTACACACACAAATTAAAAAAAGTAAGTATACATTTAAAGCGTGTGTTGGCGAAGTTACCCTGATGAAAACTTTTTCAGAATTTTTCATATAATTTTTCAAAATTTCAATATACTTTTTCATAATTTTTATATAATTTTATAACTTTCTCACATTTTTTTTGTACGAATTGAGACACTTCTCAGGAAATCTACATCTTTTCTTAGAATTTTCCATATATATGTTTTTGAAATATTGTAAGATTTCGAAGATTTTTTGTAAGTTTAATTTTTGATTAAAAATGTTATAAAATCTAAAAAATTTTAAAACATTTTTTTTAATTACGTGATGAGATATTTCAGAATATTTTAGAATTATACATATAATTTGGAGAAACATAAATATTTTATTTATATTGCAGACATGGTTGATGGTTATTGCATATTTGACAGATGTGAAAAGGAAGCGCTTGCAATGGAGAACATAAATATCTATAAGCTGAGAGAATTTTTCGGAAGGCACACATTGAACGGAAGTAGTTTCAGAAAATTGAGCGTACACGTGGTAGGAACACCAAAGGAAGTTGCAGCCAGTAAGCAGATAACTTTTCTGAATTTTAGTCATTGTCTAAATATTTCTTTTTGTATTATGATATTGTTCTTGCCTTTCATTTCTTTTTTGTCACATTAAATTGAAATTGCTAAGGCAATTAAAATTTCAAAAATTAATTATTGCAGATGCAATGAATCCTCAATACTTTCTTAAGGATTTGATAATCGACGATTCGCAGCACTATAGTGCTACAGATTATCATATTACTAACGTAAGCGAATACAAAAAAGAAGCTACTTGGTCGCCACCTTTAGATGATGAGGAAGGAGATTTAATCCTATCGTCCTTAAAGCGCTTATTAAGTGATATATAAATAATAATGTCGATAAAATTGTGGATATTACTCTTTCAAACTTCTTATGTTAATTTATCATATTAATTATTTTCGGGTTCATAAACTTATTATATTATTCATTTTATTACATTTTATGATTGTGTTTTATTAATAAATTATTTAATTCGTTTACCAATTTTTTCTATTAAACACCTGTATTTGTTGCAACGCAATGATTAATGTTCTTGTTCATTTACTTACAGAAAATACGCAGTACACATACAAAACATGCCATATAAAATATATTATAATCTTTAAATTATTTACAATGATGTCGTTTGATTGCTATTGTCGCCAATGTTTTGTTATCGAATATTTCGGTGATATACGTTTAAAATTTTTTTCTGACATGGAAATCGTGTCCCAGTGTTCTATTAGCAATAACGTGCATTGGCGCATTTATTACAGAATTGCAGTTACGTGAAATTAGAAAACTATTACTACATCGAAGTACAACAAGTAGATTTGCAGCCTTGTATTTTGATTTTTGATAATCCGATATGAATAAATTTACTAATATTTATTTTTAAAAATATAGGTTTTTTAAATAGATTCCTTATTAAAAATTTTAAGTAAACGGAATATTAATTTATTACAAGTCACAATTATACAGTCACTATTTATTAAATGTTCACAATGGCAATCAATGCAAATGGACGATAATGACGTACTTTTATTGAAAGGAATAACAGGAAAAATCCATGAAAACACTATTAAATAAATAACATTGTTTTCCAGGTAGAATATAGAGTCATAATAACATCATATAGGTCATCATGTGTTCATTTATACTTGTAAGAGTTATTAGTGATAAATAAGTTCATGATAACGTTCTTATAACATTATTATATAACTTTTGTCTGGGTTAGGACTGTATCCAATGGTATCCTAGATTAGGATATATACTTTTTTGCTTATAAAATTATGTAAATTAATTAATCTCATATTTAGCTCGGAAGAGAGTAAATCTATTTAATGATTGACTGCAATCGAATTGGATCGTTAAAAGCTTGAAAGAGTCGAAGAACGGATTGAAATCTAACCAGCGAGTAAAAAGGATGGATAGAGCACTGTCTCCGGATGGTAACCGGGGTACGCTGGTCGGCTATCGTCGGTACCGTGTTGATGACGTCGATCATGAGTTCGGTACGACCCTTACAGAGAAGAAAGTGTTGTAGACGATATTGGCGCAGAATGTAAATTTCAGACGCGGTTGCGAGAGTCTGAGTGACTACGGGCGTGCTCGTCACAACGAACAGCGGCAACTGCGGTACCTGCTGTACCTGTGGTTGCAGCACCATATTCAGAGTAGATGTGCCATATTCGCAGGACGTTCTAAAGCAGAAAAATGCAACGGAGATATATGATAAAAAATATGGTGAATATTATATATATATATATATATATATATATATATGTATATATATAATGCCATTTATATTTCATTGTTATACATATATTATGATAAAATATTTTTATCATATTTTGTTATTATATTTAGTAAAATAATATGAGAATACATAGAAAATGCATTAAATATAATGGTCGAGTTCAGCAGATTCAACTATTGCGGAGCAGATCCGTAGCTATTGGTATATTCTTGACCCACCGATACTCAAAATTAGCGGATTCTACTTTTGATACGTATTTTTATGAAATCGTCAATACGTTATTTTCAGTACGGAAACAACAACAAAAAAATACTTTTCCGAGAGATTTGTGATTTTGCAAGATTTTAATTAACGTATGTTTTTCTTTAAATTTGAAACGCCACTGTCATGAAATTACGTTGCATACGAGAGAGTGAGATTCGGTACAGCAGCACAATTGCTTGCAGACACGGATCTCTTTCCCGAGACGGTAATGTAGAGATCGAAGTGATACGAATAGCTTGACCGTGGAAGTTGATAGCAACTGAACACTGTGATTTTATTAGCAGCTCTCATATAATATCGTAGGATAATAAA